AAAGATTGATGATTCCATTCTCTAAAAATGTTATGTCAACAACTGATTTTAGAAAATGTTACACCAGTGACCAAATCCAATATATTCAATGTTCAATCCATAAATAAAAGCAGATGTTAAACTTAACATTCTGGTGTGGTTTCCTCGTCAAAATTATTATTATATAATGTTGATTATAAATTCCTGGAGATGTGTTGTCCTAGTAACCATGAAACTTTGAATAACTAAAACATGCTTATGAAAAATATGGTTTTATTAAATATTTTATGATTTTGCCGATATGTTAAATGTAAAACTGCATTTTTGCAGACTTAGTATTAACTCCAGGCATTAAATGGGTACATGTTTACTTTAAATGAAAAGCAGCTTTTGGGGCATTACTGGTCCACTACAGATCCAGTTCAAAATTCACAGTTTCCTGAACTACATCAAATATCCAATATGGCTGACAATCTTTGTAAAACTGATCCTTTCAAGCATATGGGTTGTATGTGTTCTGTGACCAACCTGACACTGCATGCCATCAGCATCTTCTGGGTTTCTCACACCAATGAGAAAAATGGCTGGAGTCAGATGGTTCAACAGCTTTTAGAAGCTGAGGTTTGAGGAAAGATTTGCCTGGTTCTGATAAAATGGACATTCTGCAAGATCCAAACTGGTGCTTGTGGTCCAGACATTGGCTTCCATGCATATACATTGTATAAGTGAAATCCTGTATTTGCTGTTATAGTAGCTGGAATAATAAACTAGAAGCTTAACACATCAAATTTGAGCAGGTGAACACACATCTGTTTTTCAAACAAAACTTGAATACAGTAGATAATTTCTGCTTATAGCACAGTCCAAGTGTTCACCTGCTAAAAATGCTAAAACAGGCTTATCAATGAAGGTGTGTGTATATAATGCACTCTATTCTTAAAGTCTTAGTGCATTGACTAAGATTGATATTCAGTAACTTAGTAAACCAGGCAGACATTGTACCGAAGACATCACTAAAGTAGAAAAAAGGTCAAATAAGCATTGGGTGTACGGTGGAGAGGTTTCCTGTGACGGGTGAAAACAGAAATATAATTAAAAATTATTTATTTTACTCAATTAGAGAAACATAATATAGATTGATCACACAGGTTTACGTTTCCAGGTCCTATCGATTAAGAGCCATTTTGATTTTCTATTTGCGAGTAGTGAAAACACAACTATACAGTTTTAGACTACATCATTCCAGCACATCTATTTTAACACAGAAATTTGAGGTCAATGTAAAGCATGTTTAATACCTGTTTAAAGGCTATTAATGTCCAAAGATACCTTTATATCAATGAGCCTGAATTAAACTTTTCTGCCCTTTGGACTCTTAGATACATTCTGTAATTTCTATGTTTCCAGGGTAAAATTGTTGGGACATATTTTTGAGGTCATTGATGAAAAGAGATTATAAACATTATAGGAGTATCTCTGGATTGTATTTCACTGCCTGTTGTGTATATAAAACTGAACATGAAGCAGATAAATCACTTTAATCTTAAAAAGCTAAATTAAAAACAGTGGAGTTGCTGATATCTCTGACTGCAAGGTGTTAAGCGTAAAAAAAGAAGTTACAGAGGCAGACTGGGGAGGGTGTCTGACTCTAGCAGGCCAAGGGTAAAGCTAAAGGTGGAGGCGGGGGGGACTCGGCCCCCATGCAAATCTGCCTGGTCTCTCCTGATGTAAGTAAGGAGTACTTAATTAAAATTTTCCTTTAAGTAAAAGTTACTTTGTAGGTTTTCTTTATTGACTCCCAATGGCCAAATCACAGTTTTTTCCTAACATGCAGTAATTACTTTAATATTCAGTTTCAATTCATTTTTACTTGATAGCGGTTGTGTGTTTTTTTAAATTATCCAATTTTAATCAGGATAGGTTTTTGCATAAGAATATGCATCATAGTGTTATTGAACATAAAATAAAAGAAAGGAAAAAAATACAGAACGAAATTATTCCGTAGTGTAATATTCCCCCTTTTTTTTTTATTAACCTATATACTATTTATCCCGATTTGCTTCAAACTTCCCCCTGTCAGATATTTCCTCCGTTATTTTTCCTCCAATGCTCATCAACAGTTTTCAATGTTTTTGAGTAAAATTCTTAAATCAAAACCCATTCAAGTGAAATTAAAATTTCAGCTTTAATTAACTACGGTACTTAAAAAGGGTCTAAATTTCAGTAAGAATATACTTCAATAGAGTAATGTGAGTAATTGAACTAGTTACTTTCCAACCACGGTGCAACGTAACACAAATAGTTGATATATACCCAGCTAGAGGAAGAGCTTTCCAAAATATATCAGACAATCAGAGAGAAATGTAGGGAGGGAGGAGAGATTGATAACAAAAAAAAATTATGAAAAACAGGAGGACAAAAAGAAGATGTGGTTTATCTCCTTTGTACCTAAAATATACTTAAATATATTTCATTTGATGTCTAAAGAATTACAAATGACTGAGAAAGAAACTCAATCTCATACTTTGTTGATCCCCCTGCTATTGCCTTGCTTCGCCCCAAAAGTCACTGCAGGGGAGGTAGGTCTAAAACATGAGAGAGGGAGACAGAGGATTTTTAAGGCCTTAAATACTGATTAGAGTCAGACCAATTATTAATATTGTCTGGTATCCTATTGTTGGGCTTGTTAATGTCAGCAGATGTTATTCAGCTGCCGCAACATTTTTATTTTATTCAGCACAGTAAATAAAACACTTTAATAAAAAAAACAATTTTATATAAAATGATAATACAATTTGTTTAAAGTATTTATGATGCAATATTGATTTAATGTCACTTTGCAGTAAAATCATGCAGCAGGACATACCAGGTGGTTCTGAGTTATTATGA